TACTGGCGGAGAAGAATAATGAACTTCTTCTTAAGAACCACAACTCTCGGCCTACGGGGGCAAAAGCATTTTCTGAGGTCAATGCACCGAATGTGAAAAATCCGAAGAGAGGAAGTCAAACCTATCGAGGTCGTGGCCGTCGATTCAATCATGGACGTGGAAGATCCTTTAACCCACAAAGCAGAAAGTCTTATGCATGGGTTCGACCTGATCAAAGTTCAAAAGGAAAAGAACCCCAAGGACGTAACGCTCAAAAGCGTGAAAGCATCTGTTACAGATGTGGATCAAAAGGGCATTGGGCTCATGTATGTCGAACCCCTGAACATCTTTGTAAGTTGTACAAAGAGTCCCAAAAGGGAAAAAAGAAGGAATTAGTAAATCTTACTGAGCACTTTGAGGGTACATCGTACCTCGATGCTTCCGACTTTGTAAACGATTTCGACGAGACCGCTCATGCGGATAACTAAAATGCCTGTAGTGAGAGACTACTAGTCTCCAGTAATGCTATTATATAATTATTATGTATTTCAGTTGTTCTAAAATAATATTGTTTCTAAAAAATGAACTGATGTATAATTATTGTTTCTGAAAAATGAACTAATTTATAATTATTATATGTTTTCAACATCAATAATATTTACTTATATTTATTAATGTTTATGTTAATTACAAAAAAAAAATGGATCAAGATTCAAACAAAACGATAGCAAGGGAAAATATCAAAGAAATTTGTATACCAGATAGTGGAACAACGCACACTATTCTGGGACATCAGAGATTTTTCTCTGAATTAAAACCGACAAAAATTATTGTCAATACAATATCGGGTCCTACGGACTTAATTGAAGGAAGTGGCAAAGTAAATTTTAAATTGCCTAACGGAACAAAGTTTTCCATAAATAATGCCTTATATTCTCCGAATTCTAAAAGAAATTTGTTGAGTTTCAAAGACATATACCGTCAAGGATATGAAATTAAGTCTGCAACTGAGGATGGAAAGAAGTATATGTATATAACTTCTAATAAATCTGAAAAAAGACATGTCTTGGAAATATTTCCAGAATTTCCTTCTGCTTTGCATCATACCTATATAGATGCCATAGAATCACATCTTGTGATCAAAAGAAATTCAAAAGATTTCGTATTATGGTATGATCGCCTTGGTCACCCAGGCTCCACAATGATGCAAAAAATCATAGAGAGCTCACATGGTCACTCATTAAAAAATCATGAGTTGAATCATGGAAATAAAATGACATGTGCAGCTCGTGTTCTCTTGGAAAATTAATTATAAGACCATCGCCAACCAAAATTGATAAAGAATCACCAAAGTTCCTTGAACGAATTCAAGGCGATATTTGTGGACCGATACATCCACCATGTGGACCATTCCACTATTTTATGGTAATGATTGATGCATCTAGCAAATGGTCACATGTTTGTCTATTGTCATCTCGAAATTTGGCATTTGCGAGATTTATAACTCAGAAAATCAAATTAAGAGTTCAGTTCTCTGATTATTCCATTAAGAGAGTTAGACTAGACAACGCTGGTGAATTAACATCCCAAGCATTCAATGATTATTGTATGGTAACGGGAATTGAAGTTGAACATCATGTAGCTCATGGCTTGGCGAAATCATTAATTAAACGTCTGCAATTGATTGCAAAACCATTGATCATAAGATCAAACCTTCCAACCTCTGTATGGGGACATGCCATTTTGCATGCAGAAGCACTCATTCGGATAAGACCAAGTGCATACCATAAATACTCTCCACTATAGTTAGCATTTGGTCGAGAACCAAATATATCTCATCTAAGAATTTTTGGTTGTGCGGTGTATGTGCCTATAGCACCACCACAACGTACAAAGATGGGACCACAAAGAAGGTTGGGAATATATATTGGCTGTGATTCTCCATCAATTATAATATACCTAGAACCGGAGACTGGTGATGTCTTTACAGCACGTTTTGCCGATTGTCATTTTGATGAGAAAGTATTCCCGATTCTAGGGAGAAAAAATAAGCAAGTAGGAAAAGAAATTAAATGGTGTGTACCATCCCTGTTATACCTTGATTACAAAGTATAGCAAATCAACTTTCCGATGCTTTTGTAGATACCAAAACAGTAACTAAATCATATATACCAGTTGTAAATGTTCCTGCTCGAATTGAAATACCACAAGAACGTGGAGGAGCAGATGATATACGTGAGTCTAAAACACGCTTGAAACGTGGTAGACCAGTTGGTGCTAAGAATAAAAATCCTAGAAAACGAAAGGAAGTTGAAAAGCATGATATTCCCAAAATAGCAAAAAGCATTTTGGAAGAAACGAATCATGAGTCTAATGACAATGATGAACGTCATGAGCCTGAAGGAAATCATGAGATTTCTATCAACTATATCCATAATGGGAATATCTGGGATCGAAATAAAATGGATGATGTTAATGAAGTTTTCTCATACCTTTTATCAAAAGAAATTGATGAGGAAAATAAGGATCCAGAACCAAAGTCTGTATATGAATATCAAAAGAGATACGACTGGATAAAATAGAAAGATGCAATACAAGTCAAACTTAATTTGCTCAATAAGCGAAATGTATTCGGATATATTGTACTCTCACCTGAAGATGTGAGACCGGTTGGATACAAATGGGTTTTCGTTAGAAAACGAAATGGAAAATGAAATATGAGATACAAGGCTCGTCTCGTAGCTCAAAGATTTTTTCAAAGATCTGGGATTGATTATGAGGAAACATATTTCCCTGTTATGGATGCTATAACATTTAGATTTCTGATGAGTCTAGCAGCTGGCGAAAATATAGAGATGCGTCTCATGGATGTCGTTACATCATATTTATATGGATCATTAGATACAAATATCTACATGAGAGTTCCCGATGGGTTTAATATGCCACATGCATCGAAATCTAAACCCAAAGAGTTGTGTGCAATAAAGTTGCAGGGATCATTATATGGGTTAAAGCAATCTGGACGAATGTCGCATAATCGTCTCAGTATGCATTTAACGAAAGAAGGATATGTGAATGATCCTATATGCCCATGTGTTTTCATAAAGGAAACAAATTCCGGATTTGTGATAATCGCGGTATATGTTGATGAGCTAAACATAATCGGGACTCAAGCAGAAATACAGAAAGCAACAAATTATTTAAAAGAGGAATTTGAGATGAAAGATCTCGGACAGGCAAAATTTTGTCTTGGCCTACAAATTGAACATACTAAAAAAGGTATATTTGTACATCAATCCACATACACCAAAAGAGTGTTAAAACGTTTTAATATAGATAAGGCAACTCTTCTCAGTACTCCAATGGTTGTTATATCACTTAATGTTGAAAGTGATCCTTAAGACCACCTAAGGAGAATAAAGAGATACTCGGTCCTGAAGTACCATATCTAAGTGTAATTGGAGCCCTTATGTATTTTGCAAATTGCACCCGGACTGATATATCATTTTCAGTCAATCTTTTGGCTAGATTTAGTTCATCCCCTACACGAAGACATTGGAATGGGATTAAACATGTCTTTCGTTATCTTCAAGGGACTGTTGATTTAGGGTTATTTTATCCTAAAAATATAAATGGTCAAATGATTGGTTTTGCAGATGAAAGATATTTATCAGACCCACACGAAACTCGATCACAAACAAGATAAGTATTCACGATTGGAGGTACTGCTATATCATGGCGTTCTCAGAAGCAAACGCTTGTAGCTACTTCTTCGAATCATGCTGAAATCATCGCACTCCATGAAGCGAGTAGATAATGCGTATGGCTACGATCAATAAGTCGACACATTCAAACAAGTAGTGGAATTCGTCTGAATACGGAGCCAACTATCTTATATAAAGACAATGCTGCATGTGTTGCTCAGACAAAGGAAAGATATATCAAAAGCAATAGAACCAAACATATCCCTCCGAAGTTCTTTTCATACATCCAAGAGCTCGTGAAGAATAAAGACATTGAAGTAAGATATGTCCTATCATCCGAGAATTCTGCGGATCTCTTCACAAAATCATTACCCACCTCTATGTTCATGAAACATGTTCATAACATTGGAATGCGTCGTGAACAAGACTTGTAAGTCATGATCTTGATCATTCGAGGGGGAGCTTGCGCTGTTCCACTTTTTTTACCTACTATGGTTTTTCTCACCGGGTTTTCCTAGAAAGGTTTTTAACGAGGCAACCTAAGATATTAAGCAAGAGACATAGTGACACTGGTCTACTTGGGGGAGTGTTACAAAAGTCATAAAAACAAACGTCAACAATATCAAGCGTCAACAATAGAAGCTACACGTGAAAAATATTACGAGTAAAATATAATTTGTGTGGAGTCCACTGTCACTATGCACGCATAGTAATTTACTTTTTTATGTCTATATAAACGATAGAATTCGTTCGTTGTAAAACACAATCCGCATTGCTTCAATTACAAGAGAAGTAATAATCTCTCTATATCATCTTTTTATTTTCGGTATCCCGATTCTTTTGCGGATATAAATTCTTTTTCTATTATTTATATTTATATACACCATAAAATAAAATAATTATTTATACTATATATATTTGGTACTATAAATATGCATTTTCGTTCAGTTGTAAAAATATATCAGTCTGCTACCTAAAAAAAACACAAAGTCTCTCTCCATTATTATTCTCTCCTCTATATTTCTATTTTTTTATTACATTATTATCTTCTTTACAACATGAAAGGAAGAATCAATATGTTACCTAATTTTTTTTTTGTCAATACCTAATTTATTTAAGACATATATTTTATTTAATTACAACACATAATATATAAATAATTTAAGATAATTTAAAAAAATTTAATTACCGAAAACCCGAATGAATAATTCAGATCGGGTAACGAAAAGAGTAAAATGACCCGACCCGACCCGAAATGGAGAGCGTATCTGCACGGACGTCGCATTGACGGTTCACGGCTTTCGCGAATCGCATCATGAGCCTTCTTCCTTCACTACTCTTCTCTTCCTTCACTACTATTCAGGTATATTTCGTTTCCAAGCTAGCTTCATTTCACTATGTGTTCGATTCAGAAAATCGCAATTGGAGTTGATTATCTTACGATCGTTACCTTTTCGTGACGCAAAACCTGGTTGCTGCTAATTTTGGTCGTTCCCTTTATCGATTTCTTTTGATTATGCTGAGAAATCAAAACTATGGATACGAAGTAATTCAATATATATATATATATATCGATGTTTTGTCTCTGAATTTTGTGTTCGGAGAGAGATTGTTGTTTCAGTGTTCATTGTGAAAATGATTTGGCTTGTTTAGTTTTAAGTGTGTCTCTGAATAGTCTGATTGATAGCTGTTAATGGATCAGATAAAATGATTTGGCTTTGTTTAGTTTTCAGTGTGTCTCTGAATAATCTGATTGCTGGCTGTTAATGAATCAGATAAAAGTTTGTAAAGAATGACAAAGAAAATGAGGAGAGTGGGGAAGTACGAGGTTGGTCGCACGATAGGTGAAGGAACCTTTGCTAAGGTTAAGTTTGCGAGGAACACAGAAACTGGTGATAATGTAGCCATCAAAATTATGGCTAAGAGTACAATACTTAAGAACAGAATGGTTGATCAGGTTTGTTCTTGAGTGTTTTTTTTTAATATGAAACTAAGGTTGTTGCGTGTATGGTATGATCTTGATTTCGTTTACTTTGTTTTTGGCGTCTTTTCTAGATAAAAAGAGAGATATCTATAATGAAGATTGTCCGGCATCCTAACATAGTGAGGTTGTATGAGGTATGTATGTTTGTTTCCCTGCATCTACGAAATTTTATCTCCTACGGTTTTTGCATAATTGTTCTTCTGATGCTGGTTGTTCTATTGTTTCTTTGTGATTTCCCGATGTAGGTCTTGGCGAGTCCTTCTAAAATATATATCGTTTTGGAGTTTGTGACCGGAGGAGAGCTCTTTGATAGAATTGTAAGGAATTTTATACTTGTATGCCTTTTAGTGGTCAGTAGTTAATTTTTGGGTGTATGAAATCTTTGTTTTTCTTGGATACCTTCTGTCCATGCAGGTTCATAAGGGGAGGCTTGAAGAAACTGAGTCTCGCAAATACTTTCAACAGCTTGTAGATGCTGTTGCTCATTGTCACTGGAAGGGTGTTTACCACCGTGACTTAAAGGTGAAACCATGTTTTTGTTAACCAATATTCCTCTGAATATTTCTGTTTTTTTACTGCGTTGTAATCCAGACTTGATATTTTGTGTGTCACTATGATATCCAGCCAGAAAATCTTTTACTCGATACAAATGGAAATCTGAAAGTTTCGGATTTCGGACTCAGTGCATTGCCTCAGCAAGTAAGTGCTCTTATCTCTGCTGCAGCAGTCTTGGTCATTTAAATTCTTTTATCTGTGTAAAGTTTCTCTTTTCTATCTCTTTAGTTCATTTGTTATATACTCAATCAGGGAGTAGAACTTCTGCGCACCACATGTGGAACTCCGAACTATGTAGCTCCTGAGGTACTTAGTGGCCAGGGTTACGATGGTTCAGCAGCAGATATTTGGTCTTGCGGGGTTATACTTTTCGTTATATTGGCTGGATATTTACCCTTTTCTGAGACGGATCTTCCAGGGTTGTACAGAAAAGTAAGTAACATATTTTTCTTGAAATGTTCATAGGATTTTTGTAGCACGTTCTGCACATCTCTCAGGATATTTTGCACACACTTTTCTATTTGAACTACTGGTTTTTGACAGATAATGGGTTTTATTCAGGAAGGTAGCATTATTATATCATTTCAAATTGATGGATAATGAGCTATATTTAGGAAGAAATAATGAATTCCTTGCCATGGCTTTTGCCAAATCATTTGTTGATTTGGTTTTGCAATTTTGCCTTTAGTTTTGAGCTTTATACATTGTTATTTACAGATAAATGCAGCAGAGTTTTCTTGTCCACCGTGGTTTTCTGCAGAAGTGAAGTTTTTAATACATAGGATGCTTGACCCCAATCCCAAAACAGTGAGTATTTTGCTTTGTTGTCTCCAAGCTTTCAGGTTTTGCTAATATTTAATGTTCTAGTAATTATATCTGTTTATCTGTTATTGTTTCCCAATTAGAGCAGCGTATTCAAATTCAAGGAATCAGGAAAGATCCTTGGTTCAGAATCAATTATGTGCCTATCCGGGCAAGGGAAATGGAAGAAGTGAATTTGGATGATGTTCGTGCAGTTTTTGATGGAATTGAGGTTTGTGGTTCGTCTTCATTGTATCATGCTCTTTGCTGGTCAATTCCATTTAAATGTTAAGATCTTTTAGGAACATTTGGATGACCAAGAAGAAGTGTTTGCTACAGAATAAAACAAAATAGTAGACATGTGGTAGGTACCAAACCTGTAAACTGCTTCTTTATTCAATTCGCCAAATCATACACCTTAGGAAGACTTGGATTTACAAGAGAATTCTTTATTCTCGACCAAATGCCAAACCAAAAACCCTAGAAAAAATCCAGACTAACACAATTACCTATCCATATGTATCTCCTGAGATTGTCTTAGCTGTGGTATAGCCTAGAAATATATAGATACCGTAATTTCTAATGCATATTTAGAATGTTTTACTTAAACTTAGGCTCTTGCTCTTCGAAAACTTGTAATTAAATTGTTACACAAAAACCTCAGTATGTGTCTTAGCTCAAGTTACTTTTGCTTGCTTTTCATGAATTTGACTTGTCAATTTCACTTGTTCACAGGGCTGTTATGTAGCGGAGAATGTAGAGAGCAAGGATGAAGGACCCCTGATGATGAATGCCTTTGAGATGATTACCTTATCACAAGGTTTAAATTTATCAGCCCTATTTGATAGGCGACAGGTAGTACCTAATTTTCTATTATTGGTCAGAGAGATCTCCATATCGAATAAAAGAATGTCGGTAGCATCTAGTCTTCAGACTACCCGTTTTGACTGCCTTATGGTGTTAACTTTTGATGTTGTGTTCTTGTTTGTAATAACTATAAGTTCATTAGATAATTGGTTGCATCACATTAGTAGATAGAAATGGAATCCAACATATTCCCGCATATTGATGGCTGATCATTTGATCTTGCAGGATTTTGTTAAAAGGCAGACCCGTTTTGTTTCTCGAAAGGCACCTAGTGAGATAATTGCTAACATCGAGACTGTAGCGAACTCAATGGGTTTTAAGTCTCATACACGAAACTTCAAGGTAACTAATTCCTATCATATACACTTATCACAAATATTATGAATTAGTCTCAAACTCTGAACTGTAAAATGTATGTGTAGATAAGTAAGATTGGATGGCTTAGCGTGGATTTTTATATGCAAGGAAACTTATTTTATATCTATTTAGTTCATGAATGGATGGCTTAGCGTGGATTTTTATTGAACTAATGCTGAGTAGAGGGTAAAATTGCTATGATTTGTTAATTATGCACTTTATGTGCTCAACAGACAAGGCTCGAGGGATTATCTTCGATCAAGGACGGGCAGTTAGCTGTTGTGATAGAGGTGATTATTGCTTGTTGTTATTGTAATATAAGTTTCTTTTGAAAGGGCTTTGCTTCACTTTAAGGGTATCTAGCAAATTGAAATTAACCTACATGCAGATGTACGAGGTGGCACCATCGCTTTTCATGGTAGACGTAAGAAAGGCTGCTGGTGAAACTCTTGAATACCACAAGGTTTATAAATATATATATCTCCAATAACAGTAGATGTATTATTTAAAGAGAATGCAGCATCATTGTGTTGCGGATTAGAGTCATATATCTTGTTTTGTGGTATCGCAGTTCTACAAGAAGTTATGTTCGAGACTGGAAAACATAATATGGAAAGCAACAGAAGGAATGCCAAAGTCAGAGCTTCTCAGAACAATCACGTTTTGATCTCAACTTAAGTCCAATAAAAATGACCTAAGTATTCTTCACGAAGATTGGAAGATTTGCTTCTTGAGCTAGTATTCTAATTTTATTGTGTCTTGTAGTTTGATTTGGCCATTGGATCCCTCTGTTCTCTGTGTATGGCTATACTTCTCAAAACTTGTCCTAATAAGACAAAAGTATTAACGAAACACATCCAATATGAGTTTGCTTAAAAGACTTCTCTTTTGCTTAAAAGACTCGTATAGAGTCTCAACTAAATATCAGGAAAGCAACTAAATATAATTTTTTTTAAATTATTAGAAGCATAAGAGAATTAATCATAAAAAGTAATTCTAAAAATTAAAAAAGGGCACATTGGTGTGAATCGAACCTGAGAAAGGGAGGGAGATATCACGTGAAGGTGCAATGAAACCACTGGACTAAGACATTAATTAATAAAGAAGGAACATTAAAATTAATATAAACGAAAAATACGGAAGCAAATGAATCATTAATACGGCAAGCACAACACAGAGAAAGGGCTCGTGAGCTCAGAGATTTTGGGAGAGAATTTCGGCGAAAATCTTTTGAGTTCTTTTAGGGATTTTGGGTGTGTTTAAGGTAAAGCGTTTGTAGATTGACAGATTTTGTGTTTGGGTTTGTAAAATGTAGTAGATTCTCAGGATTAGGGTTCGTAGAATTTTTATCAAATTTCCTGAAATGAAATTTGTTTCCGAAATTTCAGGTGACGATGTCTGATCCAATCGATCTCGAGAGTTATCACAATGCTTTCATCCAGGTGATTCCGTGATTTGTATTTATTTGTAATTGTTTCTTTATTTGATAGAAACCCAAAAATGAATCTAACAATATCTCTGATTTATTTCATAGAATAATCAACATTATTCAATATAACAAACTCTCTGATTTATTTTATAGAATAATCAACAATATTCAATACAACAAACTCTCTGATTTATTTTATAGAAAAATCATTCTAACAGAAACTCTGATTTTTAATCAGAAATGGTACGACAGAACGATTGCCGAGAGCTTTGGTGGCAAAGCTCAGCCGTGGATGCTCGAGAGACTGAGGGCGGGTGATTTTCAGGCGGTTCATCACTTTGTCAACAAAGCAAATACGATCAAAGAGCGCTCCGTGGTTCATATGGTAATCAGTAACCCAGGAATCACAACTTCAAATCACAAATACCTTGATGATGAGGAAGAGGAAGAAGCTTAAGGAGAAGCCAAGGAAGAGGGATTTTGATAGGGAGCTTAGTTGTTTTTGTAAAGACTTAACTAAAACTCTGTGTTTTTGTGTCGCTACCTTGCAATCTCTTGAAACTCCTTATGAATCTGTGTCTTAATGACACGCTTTTGAGACTAAGTTGGTTTTGTGTCTCGGCTTCAGTTGTTAGACTGATTATATTTTGTATCGTTGTGTGTTTTCCCAAACCAGGTTCCACACAAGGTCGGACTCCATCATCAAAAGGTATATCCTTAATACCGATATGTGGTTTTGATTTATACGTTCGTTTCCCTATTAGAGCAGTAATCATGATCCCTGATAGTTGATTCTTTGTGCATTAATGGATAGAACTTTGGTACTAGGAATTAACAATAATCTGATGCCACCTTAACATCTCTTGTCTTTTTTTCCAGTTTTAAGTGTTTTTAAGAGTCTAAATGTGTATTCTATAGATGATATCGCAGGGTTTGTCAAGTTACTCTTATATGCTTACTTGTTCTTCTTTCTGTTCACCATTGCCACCAATATTGACATTGAAGCGAATCGCTAAAGTTCTTTGCTCATCAACTTTGTGTTCATATATGCATACTACTTGCTCACTAAAAACATTGTGTTCGTGACATTGTGTTCATATCTGCTTTATACGTTTGTTTCCCTACTAGAGCGGTAATCATGATCCCTGATAGTTGATTCTTTGTGCATTAATGGATACAACTTTGGTACTAGGAACTGACAATAATCTGATGCCATCTTAGAATCTCTTGTCTTTAAAAGGTGGGTGTTCACCAATTATCAAATGCTTGACATGTCATGATCTTTTTGCTTGCAAACAACATCTGCAGAGGAAAACAAAACATTTTCCTCTTTTTCAGTCTTTTGCATTGCTTCATTTCCCTTTAGAAACTTGATACATTGTTACTGTTTGAAAGTATTAGTGTATATTACTTCTTGTGCAAATGGGGTTGTTGATTTTTGATTGTTTTATTACTATAGGCTACTGGTATCCCAAAGAAGTTGGCTCCTACAATGTATCACTCATAGGGTTTTAACCTAACAATTCTCCCTCTGATGATGATCTTTTGAAAATCGCTCTGTGGAAATAAGTTTTTACCGATTTAGTGCTTTAGTGTAAGAGAAGTTGGAAAAAGTATTCCATATTCTAAAATATCAACTAAAATTATGCATAATCTAAGATAATCAATCCAAAAGTATAGGTTACTATTTCTTAGTCGGCTTATTATCTCTCTTTTAATTTATGATATATTTTGCTATTTTCAAAGCACACAGATCCAATGTATAACCCGCATTCATAGAAGGAAACATGTAAGGTTTTGATATGATTACGATCCTAGTCATTTATTAGCTAAATCATACAAAATCTTGATCCGATTCTAGACAAATCAAATAAACATGTTGTATATTTAACACTCATAAATCTTTAACACTTTAATGTAAAGATAATCGCAATTCGATTATGAAACTTATGTTAGTCTATTTTTGACACATGTTATTCTATTTTTGACACTTACAAGTACTCGTAAATTCGATCATGAAAACGATAGTGTCTGATTATTATGATATTGATTTGGACTAACTCATACTCATATTCTACAAATATACACCATATATTCAAAACATGAGAATCTCTCAAATGTTACATTACATAAATTGAACCGAGGTCATCTAAGCTAACCACACAAAGAGTTCACGTGAGCCCGCCCTTGGCCGAGATGATGGACCATGACTTATAGATCAGTAGTAACGTCTTAAATAAGCCCCGTCATGTCATAATTCAATTGAATGGCCAACATTTAGGAAACGTTTATACCAAAAACTTGAGTTTCGATTTGGTACCATTCATTTTGCTATATATTACGGGTGGGTGTGAACAATAAAAGATAGAGGATATATAAATGTAACATCTTTGTTTGTTCTATTATTATTGTTAGGGACAAACTATAATAATAATATATATTGGGAAAAATGTCGTTAAAATCCCCAACTTATTCAAAACGTTGATTTAAATCCTCAACTCATGACGAAACGAAATAAATATCAAACTTATGTTGACTTTCCAAATAAATATTAAACTTATGTTGACTTTCCAAATAAACACCAAACTTTCATTGACTTTCCAAATAAATATCAAACTTCCGTTGACCTGACCATATTAGGTACGACGTTAAGTGGGTTACTAAATCCTCAACTCATGACAAAACGAAATAAATATCAAACTTATGTTGACTTTCCAAATAAATATCAAACTTATATTGACTTTCCAAATAAATATCAAACTTCCGTTGACATGGCCATATTAGGTACGACGTTAAGTGAGTTAATAGATCTCGTTAACGGAGGTAATTTTCTGTTAACATATATGTTAATTGATAACGACATTGTTTCATATAACAACAAAACGACGTCGTTTTGTCGTAACGATTGAATTAAATCCCTAAAGTCAATCTTAGATCCCCAAATCGAGCAAAATCCCTAACCCTAAATAGAGTATGATTTGAAACTCGGGATTATATTGAACAGTTAACACAAAACAACGTCGTTTTATGTTTAGAAGGAATACTTGTTAGTGTTTTGATCAACAAACGAACTCTGTTTTAACAGAGTATGAAGAACAAAACCAAAATGAAAAATAGAGTATGAAGAAACTTGATCTTTATTGATAAGAGAAAATGTATTACACACAATGATGTTATTGAGTTTGACTCGATCTACTTATACAACACGAAACAACGTATACGTACATGTGTTAATCGAAAAGACACAACTTTACGAACAGACACAACTATACGTACGTACATTCGTGACTCTTACGTAAATAACTAACTTATATGAATACGACTTTAGGTTATATGACTTAGATGAGATTTGATTATAGTTCAACAATACTGTCATTTTTAATTAGCGGGTCTGTTAACAGAAAATTAATCCCGTTAACATTGTCTGTTAACTCACTTAACGTCATGCCTAATATGGCCAAGTCAATGAAAGTTTGGTGTTTATTTGGAAAGTCAACATAAGTTTAATATTTATTTGGAAAGTCAATATAAGTTTGATATTTATTTCGTTTCGTCATGAGTTGAGGATTTAAATCAAAGTTTTGAATAAGTTGGGGATTTTAACGACATTTTTCTCAATATATATTTCATTGTTTAAAACTTTGAACTAGAAAATGATAAAATCGGTCGCAAAACCAATAAGGGATGATATTTTTTGTTTCGTAAAAATTTGAAAACAATAGAATAAGTTCAGGAGAGATGGCGACGGCGTGTGCGAGATGGGGGTTTCGTTTTTTCTTCTTCTCAGATTCTGGTTAAGGTTATTCGATTTGGAATGGTTTGGGGAAGCTTATTTGGTCTCCTCTGCTGAGTATCGATTGTGGATTCGGAGAGATCATGAATCATTTTATGATCGATTTCATGAGATTTCTTTTGTCTATCTGTTATCTGGTTTGGGAATATTTCTGGGCAGTCGATTGGGCTATCAGATCGATCTGTTAAGGAGACAGATTCGACAGATCGATCTGAACTCTAATTTTCACTAACCCTAATTGGGAGGTTCGTGAACTCGAGTATCCAAAGGATGGATTCTCTGCTGGCTAACATGCCAAAGATCTGGAAGATGGAAGATAAGATCGTTGGAGCTGATTTAGGAAAATGCATTTTTCAGTTTAATTTCCAGTCCGAGGAGGACTTGCAGGGTGTTTTGCATAATGCTCCGTATCATTTTGATGGATGGATGGTTTCCTTGGTTAGGTGGGAGCCTATTATCTCTGCTACAAACCCATCGGCAATCAATTTTTGGGTTAAAGTTTCTGATTTACCCATGCACTCGTGGGAAGAGGTAACATTAAGGGCCATTGGGAATAAGGTTGGTCTAATCCGTGACATTGATGTGGATACAGGAAGTATTTATGTCACTGTAAGCGGATTTAATCCTCTTGTTTTTCAAATGGTGGTACCTTTTGAATCAGGTGATGCGGTAGTGGTATCTTTGGAATATGAGAAGTTAGCAAATTTCTGTCAACACTGCTCTAAATTAACTCATGATATGAGTGTATGTCCAGACTTCCAGAAAAAAGCAGGGAGTAGGATATATGAAGAACATGGAGACAGAAGAAGTGGTACAGTGGTACAAGGCAGCATGCTAAGCAGTTGCCTCAAGGGCAAGAAGGTGGATGGGAAAAACCCAGGAAACCTGCTGCAAAAAGAGCCTTGGAATTTTCTGGAGAAGAAAATGGTGGAGGATTCCACTACCAAATGGAGAAGGGAGAAAACATCAAGCCTCAGAGGCGATTTGAGAAAAATCAGGCTTCTATTTGTGGGCAAAAAAGAACTTTCCTGGCACTTGGGCTGCAAGCAGTGAATTTACAGGGAAAGGAGGGGCCACTGATGGTTTTAAAGATGCTCAATTTCCAGCTCAAGGCATGGGTTATGGAAGAAAAGGTGCAGGACCTGCTTGGCCTAAACCTTTGTATCAGCCTAAATCGGCTTCCAAGGTGGCGCAGGCTCCCCAGCAGGTTGTTCTAGATCCTACAAATGTTTTGCAAGGTGACGAACAGAACTACACCGGAATAGAGGATGTCCCAGTGTTGGGAGAAGAGGACCTTAAAGGAGGTATAATTTTCTCAGAAAGTACTGATGATTTATTAGAGGTTGGAGAATGTCAATTTGATGAGGAGATCGATGTTCATGAGACGGCTGAGGAGACTATGGAAGTTGAAGGACAAATGATCCCTATGGAGAACAAGATTGTTCCTAAAGGTAAACCTCAAATTTCTAAAGTCTTACCTATTGATATTGGTATTGTAAGTCAGGGAATGAAAGGAATAAAACTGGATCGGATTATCCTAAAAATCAGAAAATTAAAAAACCAAGTAGTCAGGGGATTAAAGGAAACTAGTGGTAGTAAGAATTATGCTATGCTTGTGGCTTCACCGAGTAAACGTCTTTTGGCTAAAGTTATTGATTGCTCGAGTAATTACCCGATACACTTAACCGCAAGGTAGTATATACGGGGTCGATCCACAAGAACCAATGGTACACTAAAGACTTCCGAGACTCGTTCTTAGCTAAAGCTGTTTTGTTTGGGTTTTCAGATTGTAAAATAAAAATGCAAATAAATTAAACGATTTAACTTTCAAGATTTAAAGACATTGGGCCATAGGGTATTTCAGAGATCAATGAACAATGGAAACATGAAACAAGGAATTCAATAATTAAGAACCGTTCTCGAACATGAACACAACTAGACTAATTCTCTTTCAAGACATTAATCACTAAATTTGACTACTCGATTACTAAACTTTCGCATGTAATTTCCTAGTCAAATTCGCATTATCAAACAAGTTCATTTAGTACACAATGCGTCCTAACGTCAACTTTCGTTGGCTAAGCATACATTGCTCAATTCACATTCTTTCAGGCATTCTATCGAACACTTTTGATGCATAGAAAAACCTAGAGTCTACAACAGGGTGATCAATCCTATTCTAGCATTAAGAACATGTGGATCAAAGAACCTAGGGAATAAGAATTCCTAATACAGTTAATCCATTAATCCATTGAATCTCCTAATTAGAACCCTAAAACCCAATTGGAGAACTACTCACTCATGGCAAAGAAAACAACACAAAGAGATGAAGAAAGCATAATTGAATTGATAAATAAAGAACAAGGGTTTAGAAATCTTCTCCAAAGTGTCAAAGAGGATGAATCTCTAGAATCCCAAAAAGCTTACAAGGAGAAGTCTCAAAAGTTGCAGAAAAAGAACGTAGAAAGAAAAATAGGTTTTTCTGGGTTTTAATACCCAAGTACAGAAAAAGGCAAATAAACCCGGTTAAGGAAAACCGGTCTGGTGGTCGAAAAGGGTGGATCGATCGATCCCCACCTGGGATCGATCGATCCCGAGCTCCTGGAATGAACACGTCTTGACGGATGAGGGTTGGATCGATCGATCCCCTCCTGGGATCGATCGATCCCGAGCTTCTGGTTGATCACTTCTTGACGGACGAGGGTTGGATCGATCGATCCCGAGCTACTGGAACTTTTGGCTTCATCGTCACAATTGGGATCGATCGATCGATCCCCAGCTCCTGGTGATCTCTTGTACCGTTTCTCCATTGTTTTAGCTCCGAATAGGCTCAATCACGCACAAGATGCTCCGAATCCAGCTCGAGCACTTATAACCTGCAAAGGACTCAAGACACAACCGAAAAGACGCAAAAGACGGACTTTGACACGATAGATGACTCAAAACACGGACTAAATCAAGACTCGAAACCGTTAAAAACGCAACACATCAGTTATGTCTAATAAATTTTCAGATGTTGGGAACAACCAGAGAGCTGCCGGAAAGAAACAGCCCAAGGAGGGAGAAAAAACAGGTGGGGCTAAAGGGATGGTGGATCTCCCGAAACCATCGGCTCATACGTGAAGATAATGAGTTGGAACTGTCAGGGAGTAGGGGCTGATCTGACAGAGAATTATTTAAGGGATCTATGGAGAACGCACAAGCCAGATATTTTATTTTTATCAGAAACTAAAAGATGTTTTGCTTATTTTCAGAGATTTCAATCTCAATTTGGTTATAATAATTTGTATTCAGCTGATCCTCTCGGTGCTAGTGGAGGATTAGCTTTATTTTATAATAATGAAATAAATTTAGAGATTCTCTATGAGAGCAATCGGATAATTGACGTTAAAGCTTTATTTGGAAAACAATTAGTGTTCATGTCTTTTATCTATGGGGATCCCGTTGCTACAAAACGTGATATTATCTGGGAAAAAATAACAGAATTGGGATCTAATCGGAAAAAACCATGGTTAATGATTGGAGATTTTAATGAGCTTACTTAAACCATGAAAAGTCGGGTGGTAATTTACGGTCCGCAGCTTCTTTTGTCTCTTTTAATCTCATGATTCGAAATAATGGTATGTTAGAATTTCCTTGTTATGGGGATCAATTATCATGGAGAGGTAATAGAAATCAACTGATTGTTAGATGCAGGCTTGATCGGGCTCTGGGGAATAAGGATTGGCATAATTTGTTTCCGTTTTCTAAAGTGGATTATCTGGATATGATTGGATCGGATCATAGACCGATATTATTGAGTTGTAGGAAGATGTGGAGTAGAAGAAAACGACAGTTTTAGTTTGATAAGAGATGGGTTGGTAAAGATGGCCTTTCGGAGGCAATAGATTCAGGGTGGAATCGGACAAAAAATTTCAGAATACCCGTTTTTGTGGATAAAATTAAAAATTGTCATAATTCAATTTCGTGGTGGAGGAAAAATAATATTCCATCGGGTCAGGCAAATATCTCTTCTCTTAAGATGGCTTTGGAGGAAGCGAAGAAAGATGATTCGATTCCACAGTGGGAAATATCAAGAATAAAAAATAAATTAAAGGAAGCTTACCATGAGGAGGATATTTACTGGAAACAAAAAAGTCGAAATTTTTGGCTAAAAGTGGGTGATAAAAATACAAAATATTTTCATGCCGCTACAAAAAAAAAGAAGGGCAAGAAATAAGATTTCATGCCTATATGGACCTAACGATATTTGGGATAAATCAGAAACAGGAATGGAGGATATAGCAACAACTTATTTAATGATCTTTTTAAGGGATCCAACACAGATGGTATTGTCGAAATGGTACATGAAGTATCCCCGGTGATTACGGAAGATATGAATAGGGAGCTAACCAAAGAGGTTACGGAAGCAGAAGTTAGGAAAGCTTCATTTTCTATGCACCCTGAAAAGACACCAGGTCCAGATGGCATGACGGCTTTGTTTTATCAAAGGTATTGGCATTCTTTGAAGGAAGACTTAGTAATTTTGGTCAGGGATTTTTTTGATGTTTTGATAAGAGAATAAATGAAACAAATATTGTTTAGAAGACCAAAAGGCCACAGAGGATGGCTGAGTTTAGGCCAATAAGTCTTTGTAATGTGAGTTACAAGATTATCTCAAAAATTCTTTGCTTAAGGCTTAAAATTTTTTACCTCGGCTAGTCTCTGAAACTCAATCGGCTTTCGTTTCAGGTAGACTAATTACCGATAACATTTTAGTAGCGCTGGAAATGTTTCATGGTGTAAGGACGAATAGAATGTGTAAAACAGATTTCTTGGTAATTAAAACATATATGAGCAAAGCATATGATAGGATAGAATGGGAATTTTTGGAGGCGGTTATGTCACGATTGGGATTTAATGCTAATTGGATCTCTTGGATCATGTGGTCCGTTAGTTCAGTTTTGTATCAGGTTTTATTGAACGGCAAACCTAAAGGAAAAATAATTCCCAAAAGAGGTTTACGACAAGGTGATCCCTTATCGCCTTATTTGTTTATATTATGTACGGAGGTCCTGATTGCTAATATTAAAAAAGGAGAAAGAGAACAAAAGCTGACCGGAATTAAGATAGCAAAAAGAAGTCCTCCTATCTCTCATTTGCTTTTTGCGGATGATAGTCTCTTTTTATGTAAATCAGACTCTAAGAAATGTAAAACGGTGATGGATATTATTGGAAATTATGGTAAAGCTTCTGGACAATAAATAAATTTCAATAAATTGTTTGTCTTATTTGGTAAGCGTGTAGCAAACCAAAAAAAAGAGGAACTAAAACAACACCTTGGCATTACTAAAGAAGCTGGAATGGGTTAATATCTGGGAATACCAGAGAGCCTAGGGGGTTCAAAAAGTAAAATCTTTAATTATATAGGGGAAAGACTTAATGAACGGATTAATGGTTGGTCAGCTAAATATCTGTCAAAAGGCGGGAAAAAGACAATGATCAAATCTGTTGTTTTGGCGCTCCCAACCTATGTTATGTCTTGTTTTAAACTCCCTCAAGAGTTAACATCTAAGTTAACAAGTGCCATTTCTAATTATTGGTGGAGTTCTAATGGAAAAGACCGTGGAATCCATTGGATAGCATGGGAGAAATTGTGTATGGAAAGAGAAAAAGGAGGTTTGAGTTTTCATTCTCTAGATAATTTTAATGATGCCATGTTGGCTAAACAATATTGGAGATTAATCCAATACCCGGATTCTTTAGTAGCTCGAGTGCTAAAAGGTAGATATTTCAGGAATGTTCATCCTTTAAATGCAAAAAAAACGAACTCTCCATCGTTTGGATGGAAGAGTATTTTTTCGTCAAAAAGAATTGTTGAAATGGGTGCAAGATGGTCACTAGGTTCGGGTTTCAACATATCGGTTTGGCGAGATCCTTGGATTCTAGACGATAATCCAAGGCCCGCAAGGGGAAGAGGAAATCTATTACTTCCAGGTCTGATGGTTAACCATCTAATTAATCCGGTTACTAAAGAATGGCACCTTCCTATACTACAAGAATTTTTGGATCCGCTGGACATACAAATCATTAGAGGAATGACTATTAGTCAAATTTATAGGCCAGATAGGCTTATTTGGCATTATACAAATTCAGGGAGATATACAGTAAAGTCTGGATATCGACTTGCTCGAAAGATGGTAGAGACGATAGAATGGAGACCAAATTATAAAATATTACAAGCACAAGCTTGGAAAGTCAAAGCTCCTCCGAAAATAAAACATTTTTTATGGCAAATTGCTTAGGATCTTTGGCAGTTACCTCAAAATTAGTACATCGAGGGATTCGTTGTGATACTATCTGTAAAAGGTGTGAGAGGGCAGAGGAAACAATAAATCATGCTTTATTTGAGTGTTCTCATTCTCTGAAAATATGGGAATTATCCGCGGTGCCTTTGGTTCCTGATTGCTTTCCTCTAAGCTCAGAACTTTTAAATCTAGATTATCTTTATTGGAGGCTACCACCTCCTCTAGATGGGGGGAAAAACCAATTGCTTTGCTTGGATTTTGTAGTTCATATGGAAAGATAGGAATAAATTTTTTTTTAAAGGAATACAATCAGATCCCACATATATTTTAAATCACGCTTTAAGTGAGAAATTACTGTGGGAAGAAGCTCAAGTGGAACCGAAAATGATACCTTTACCGAAATATTGGAACCACCAATCCAATCATTACGATGTCGGATTGATGGTTCATGGAAATCTTTGGATCCAACTATGGGTTTAGGATGGTGGTGTTTTCAAGGGACCGCTCAAACGATACTGATTGGTGCTAAGTGCCTTAG